CTCCATTTTCTGGAGATTTTCAGCTGGCAGGGCTAAGTGCTAGTTAGAAATCAAATCCAGAATTCACTTACCCCAAAGCCAGAGTTTTACACTGCAGATGAAGATAGAGCCACATAAAAAGTAATATACATGTGGATTATAGCTATACAATACACAAAAAATGTAGTTCACACTAGTCTGTTCTGTTGTTATAGCTACTCAATTGTTTACAATATCTTCCCTGCCAATATTGTTTTAACGTATATTATCACTGCACTTAAGTTTTCCAATAAGACATTTCATTTGTCTTATTGTTCATAAAGATATTAAATCATTTGCATACAAAGATTCTTTAAGAGTGTAAATTATACACACTGCATTTCTTATTTAAGCATCATTAATACCAAAGCACTGAGATAGTTAGCAAAGTCTAAATCAGTGGTTCCCAAACTTTTTGGCATCATGCCCCCTTTTTGAAAAAACCTCAGCCCTCCCCCACAAATAAAAGCAAAACTTGTTGAGGAAAAAAAAAAAAGGAACTGACCGGGGCAGCAAAAGTTGATGGGGGAGAGGGGGGAGAGGAGTTGGGTGTCCTCACGCCCCCCTTGGAATTTCTTCACACCCCCCCAGTTTGGGAAGCAATGGTCTAAACCAGTGGTCTCCAACCTTTTTACACCCAAAATCACTTTTTCTATGACAGACCAAGCCAAGATCTACTGCCCCGCACCTTCCTTTAAGCCCCGCACCTTCCTTTAAGCCCCACCTTCTCTATTCTCCTCCTCTCCACCACTTGCTATCCCCAATCCTTATACTGGTGCTTTTTTAAAAAAAAAAAAAATCTTCTGTAGGAAGGGGTTTTTCCAACATTTGGTCTGTCTAGACTGGACCAAATGTCAGAAAAACCCCTTCTTTTGGAAGCCCCCTTATTCCTCGTGGAAAGAGGAATACAGGGGTTACCAAAAGAGAATGTTTGCTTTTCCACTAAAAAAAGCGGAAGAACAAATGCAACCCTGGATGCAGAAGAGTTTTTCTGTGATAACTCCAGAATCCTGAAAAACTCCTGCAGTCTAGCCAGACCCTCGCTGGGCTGAGGCAGGATGTGTAGGCTCTGGGGTGGGGATGAGGGGGGTGCAAGCTCTGGGAGGAAATCTGGATGCAGGAGGAGGTGGAGAAGGGGACACTGGCTCGGGGAGGGGGCTCCAGGCTGGGCAGTGTTGGGATCAGATGGAGGGTTGGGGTACTAAGCAAGCCACCGGCTTGTGGATGTGAGGGTGCAGGAATTTGGGTTGGGGTATGCAAGGGGCTCAGGGCAGCGGGTTCCAGTGTATGACAGGCTCAGATCTAGGGTCTGGGGAAGGGGGAATGCAGGATGGTTGTGGCCAGATGGTGGCTTGACCCCAACTGGGGGTTTGTTGGCCAGGCTTCATTTTTTAATAAACTACTATGTCAAACACAAAAAGTTTCTGCATTGTCTTTATTTATGAGAATGGCAGGGAA